ACATGTATGTAGGTAACATAAATGAGATGAACATGAACAAAACATGTATTATTCAAGTATATATATATATGGTGACAATTTACAGTGTCTCTCTGTTTGCCTCTCTGTATATCTATATATCTGTATACTGTATGCGTATACGCGCGCATATATTGGTCTTTATAAACTTGACTTTTTCTTAATAGATTGTCTACGCCAAACTAGAAGCGATTGAAAGTAACTTTATTAGATAATTTTAATAGTAAATTTCATTTTTGTTTTATGTAAATTTCTTAGGTAAATCATATATTAATAATGATTATAAAAATAACTAATGACAACAATAATGGTGCCTACATTTCAAGTAAATGATACTAATAGTGATCATAATAGTAGTGACGTTAGTGTTATTATTATTACTAGTAGCAGTAGTAGTAGTAGTAGTAGTAGTAGTAGTAGTAGTAGTAGTAGTAGTAGTAGTAAAAGTCATCATCCAGAAGATACAGGTGTTTATTAACAGTTGTCTACGCAAAATATTTCGGATCCGTTGGCCGGACACTATTAGCAACAACGTACTGTGGGAGAGAACAAACCAGATCCCAGCGGAGGAAGAAATCAGGAAGAAGCGCTGGAAGTGGATAGGACACACATTGAGGAAAGCACCCAACTGCGTCACAAGACAAGCTCTCACATGGAATCCTCAAGGTCAAAGGAAAAGAGGAAGACCAAAGAACACATTACGTCGGGAAATGGAGATAGACATGAGAAAAATGAACAAGAATTGGATGGAATTAGAAAAGAAGGCTCAGGGCAGAGTGAGTTAGAGAATGCTTGTCGGCGGCCTATGCTCCATTAGGAGTAACAGGTGTAAGTAAGTAGTAAAAGTAGTAACAGTAGTAGTGTTGGTATTATTAGTATTATTGTTGTTGTTTAGTAGTAGTAACAGTAGCAGTAGTAAAGTAGTGAGGAGCAGCGTTTCTGACCCCAGCTAAAGATTCAGTAGACGCTCAAATTCTAGATCAACAGGCTGGCTTTCATCAGAATCAATCACATACTACCATAACATAACTAAACACTACCAACTGATTTCTATTGGCCGTATGAAGCTTCCATTGATGTCTAAAACCTTAAGTGATCAGTCTATTTTCAGCATATGTGTACTAACACTAGCAATACTGCTGAATGTTTGGATGGTCTAAAATAGAAGCACATTCTGGATGGGGTTAGTAGATGTCAATAAGTGATGGGAAAATGTAATTCAACTGTTCAGTTTACTCAGTATGATTATAATTATTTCAACGAAGCATTCAACATATATTAACCTGTTTCAAAGTCTAGACCTTGTATGGCTTCGACTGGTATAATCTTCTAATTTAAAATTCAATAGGTGTTTATTTCAATGGCTCACCGATTAACATTAATTTATGACGAAAATGATCTCTAAAGTCAATTACACAAATTTTTCTATGAATTCTAGTCAACAGACTTGTTAGAATTTTTCCTAGTGTGTACAGATGCCGGACAGAATATTGTGCAACTGTAACCATAAAGGGTTTATGATGATTGTTAAGTTTTATAGAGTACATTGTGAACTGATATCGGTTATACAACCACCGAAAACCAATAAGCACTAAACAGTTGTTTCATCCTAGTATGGGACACCTCAGTAGTGTTCAGCCACAATCCCACTTAGGATGCGTATGTTTCTACATAAACCTCTATTAATGCTTAAGATTGATTTTGTTCAAATTCGTGATGTAATATTCAAGTCTGGTTAATGGTTGATAGTTTTCTACGTAAGTATGGAATTCATTTATTAGGAGACATATCGAAGCAGGGGATAGTTTACATAAAGATCTATAGAGAACTAGTTGTAAACAATAGATAGAGGGTATAATTTTAATATACAACATAATAGAAAGCTTCATACACATTTCTTTATTTTTTGTAGTTGTTTAGTTTGATTTGTTGTTAATGTGATGATTACTATAAGAATACAATAAAGTTAATTACTATGAATATAGTTTCTAGTCAAATTTCACCATCAACTGTTTCATGTACTTTACTGACCACACCCATAAAATTTTGATACACCAATAATTTTATACATCCATCAGCTTCTGATCAATACTTTTTACTCTTTTTTAATACAAAGTCTTAATATTACTAAACTAATATCAGATATAAGTTGTATTGTGAGTGTATATTTGGAATCAGTCCAATTTATACAAATTAAACGTTGATTTATTCTTAAATATTTTTCATCGTTTTACATTTCATAAGAAATAATTACTGTCTACAGAGTAATTGATATTAGTATCTACACAATATGAGTAATAATTAATCACTGAAGGCTATTTTTAAATTACTATATGTATATCTAGGAATATGTTTTTACTCAAATGTATAAATTATCTCAAAGTATGTAGGTGGTGAACTGAATCACAATGTACTACTCTTGGCAGCAGTAGTAGTAGTGCTATTTTGAACTATATATTTGCTTATTTACTTACATGTGTATACAACTATATTTATATACATAATGCACTACAATAATAACATCAATATTAATAATAATAATAACAATAAATGTTACTATTAGCCATGATATATTTAAATAGTGTTTTCAGTAATTCACTCTTTTCATACAATGATGAACCAATAATAAAAGTACACAATACTAACAAGTTCTGATAGTTATCTTGTGACTGATTGATATGATGTGTATTTTCTTTTTATTTATTACTGGCTAACCATCTTTCTTTTTCAATTTGATGTATAATAATAATAATAACAGTGGTGCTTTTAGTGACAGATTACAATCGCTGTTGTACTTACGAGAAAAAAGAGTAGTAGAGTAGTAGAAAATCTCCAATCAGTTAGTAATTTCTTTAGTCAACTACAACAGACACAACTATATAAAGTAATTTTAAAATAGAGAGCGAGAGGAAGTGAGAGAGTGAAAAAAGAAGTAGAGAAAATAATTTAAAGCTAATTTGACGTTTAAAAAAAACTGAAAAGCTTTGGATTTGTATGATTCTGTATGATGTTTTTATCATTCTTTTTTCTATGCTAATGATATGATGAGATTTGTTTCTTTGCATGTGTAAACATTCACGTTTGTACAAGATTTCATCATCAAATTACTGTCTGATTGATTAATTATATTGTTTCAAAGATAATTTATTTGGCAGGCTATGGTCTGTATGTAGACTGATAATCTGTAGAATAGTTATTATCACTATTCAATTTTATTCAGTTCTCTGTAATGATGATCAAATCCATTTGATTAGAGACCATCTCTTATTTTTTATTAGGTTTAGATACACGTGTAATTTCAAACCTCTTTAGTAATTTAAATGTAGAATTATGTATTCTGTTGTACATCAGTTGTTTTTTTTATGAGGGAACTAAGGATTTCAATCAATTGTCCAACTTGGAATGCATGGAAGAAGGATGAAGTTTGTCATTAATTGTTTGAAAGTTAGGCGTTTTGTCTGTTATCCTACCAACCAAACATACCGGGCATACACTGTGAAGACGAGATATTTAAGTCTTAACTGCTAATATCAGATGAAATGCATTGGCTGCACAGTGGGCAGTCATTAACATCATGTCATCATGCTATGCTAGTTATCAGTGTTATTTGGATGTTATAACATAATGTCTATAAAAACTAACCATATTTGACACCAGGTTTTGTGAAGAAAGTAGAAAAATGGTCATATGGTCATATGTGTATGTCAGGATACTCTGAGAATTCTTCGATAGTCTTCAGAAGCCAGGAAATGGCTGGTACTTTTTGTTTGATCAACATACGCCCTATAAAATTAGTTGACTGGGTTTCACACTATGATTAAATGATTAATTACTTTGTTACTATGGTTAGCTTGCTTCTAGAGGTTTCTAAAGGTTGAAGGTTACCAACAAACCTAGAAATACTGCTATATTTTGTACATAAGTAAATCTTGAAGTAAAGCTTCTGTTCCTGCTGCTTTCTTGTTCTCCACCACTCGAGGCTCATGTTCAGAAGAATCATGGGGATTTAGGAAGTTACTGGTAAGCCATTATCAATGTTTCAAATGGTAGATATATCAGTATATCGCATAAAAATTTGTTATTAAAAAAAATGTGAATAAGTATAAAACTTAATTTGCGGCTTATTTTCCTAATACTTCCAATTACTAAAACGACTTTATTACTTAGTGGATTGAGTATTAATCTCAAATATTTATTGTTGGTTTTTTGAATATAAAACTCTGGAGTTAAAAATTTGATAAGACTGGCGTGTTCATAGAAATAGGTTACTGAAAATCAGTCAATATCTCATCAAATAATATAAAGTGGAAACACATTTTCCCAAAAGTTTGTTGACACGACTTCCTGATGGATGCTAAATAGGATAAAATCTAGTTTATCGGCTTCCTGTCAATTGATCTCATCTATCCAACATCAAATCCAGTGTGTTGTTATGTGAAGTTAATGTGTTTAGTGATTATATATATAATCACTCATAATTACTCATTGACAGAATTAGACTAACATTAGGAACTAAACAAGAAAACGTTGGTTATCATTCAGTAATTGATTTATGTTGATAGATATACCCATATGCAGAGAATACTTGTTTTTGTTCATTTTCATATATCAGTATTAAATAATTTTGAAATTAAACACTTTACTGGGTAACCCGTTGATGAGAAAAAACGTTTTCAAAAATCTTCCATAACTTCTCATTATACTCTTAATGTCTGTACAGACTTTTCATTAAATGACAGAAAAAATATTCATATCTTAAGAAAATAGTTTCAGTTATGACGAACTAGTGAAATTATCTAACATTATCTGTTGAACTTCCATAACTGTCTGTATAGTCAGAAGATTGAATGTAAATGACAACTAGTGTCTCATATGTTGAACAGTGAACTTATTAGTTCCTCATATTTTTTTGCAAACTTTGTTTTTTTAAAAATATTTTGATCACAAATTCTTTTTAATTTTAAATTTTTGCATTTTAACAGATAACACAAAACCGTTGTTACAACCCGCTATGAACGCTACTGATTCCAGCAGGGTTGGTACAGTGTTGGATTATATACCGAAAAACGAATCCAATTTGTATCAGTCAATATTAACAAGTGAATCGGCAGGGTCGATTTCGTCCTCTCTTTCATCACTGACATCATCATTACCAGTTATGTCATCAACATCAATTTCTTGTTGTACTTCAACTTCCACTTCTTCATCGTCGACCTTTCCATCTATACCAGGAGATAAAGAGAAGTTGGCACAAGATCTTGTCAATATGTTTTACTGTTCAACATTCAATTCATTCGGCCAACAGCAATCAGTCTCACCCCCTACATCATCCTCATCATTATTGCAAACGTTTACTCCGCAGAATTTGAATGACTTCAATTCTTTTTTATTTAAACGGCTGTTTTCAGATAATGTTTTTAGTCAAACGATGAATTTGTCAAATTCACTATTGAATTCATCAACATTTTCAAAATTCGTCCCTTCTGCACTGCAATTGTCAACATTTATGAATTCTTTAGGTAATTTTAATTCAACTCAATCATTAATCAATTTAACATCTACATTGTTTCCACTGTCTACTAACCCGTCAGCAGTGTTTTCTTCACAAAATGTTAACTCTTTTGAAAATTCTGATGCAAATGTTTCAACAACTGGATTATCTTCATATATTCCATGTACAACATCTTCATTGATGCTAACGGAATTTCAGAAGGATACTGTTGAACAACATTTTAAACAAAATACCAATAGTATTAACGATAATCACAATAATTATAACAATGATACACTTATTCCAATCTGAAAATTTTCTGCTACTGTAATTTCTGACACTTAGCTTATTTTCAGGAATTATGCATATATATATAATATATATATATATATAAACTTGTGTACATAGATGATACGTGAATTGGAGGAGTTCTTCGGTATTTTAGAGATCTATCTAAGCTATTTTGCCCACTTTCTATTTCTCTTCTCATTACGAACAATAAAAAGGAGTTATACAAATTGTTGAATTTGATTGCTGACTAACGTTAATGAATGAGCAATACGACACAAAGTTTATAAAATTATGAAATTCTGTATGTAAATATATATTTAAGTATTGCAAGGCGGAAAAAGATAGATATGTATAAAGTAACTATATAGAAATAATCAGTTGTGTGTTGTTGCTGAATAATTTGCAAATGAATATTACTTTTAAATGAATTGATATCCTTTCACTTTCATTTACCCCTTTCCTTATAGGTTTGGATACATTTCAGATCAACTACTAAATTGAGTAGTATGATTTAGTTTTTTTATATAGTGGTATTTTTATGCTAACTTTAGATTGGAACGTTTCCTAGGCATCTTCATCTTCATGGTCATATAACAATGTGATTAGTTCGGACGGTTTCTTTTTATGCATTTTCTATTCTCTGTATGATGTAACATATATTGCATAGTATCCATTAATCAGCATGTCAGTAAACAAGTATATGTGTATAATTACAAACAACAGAAGCTGATGACATTTATTTCAATCCCTATCCGACTACATGTGTTATAAACAAAAGTTCTTTCTTCATCATGAATTTTTTAAAACTGTTTAATAATCATTAAACCGAATGTCAGCTATACTGGTTCGTTGTTGTTATATTTTGTAATAACTTATGATAATTCTGAATTCCGGACGATTGTGGGGATTCTTCTAATACAAACAAGATATATGCCAACTAAGTCGACGAGATTGTTGATACACAACACTTCAGCGATCTCAGTAAAAAGCTTACCATTCAAGAAGTCAAAACTGTATTAGAATAACTCTGTTTGTTTAGTAATGAATATACTTTTGAGACACAGGAAAAATAGCAAACTGGAAACTAGGACAACCAATCAGATAACAACAAAGGTTGGTGGGAAAATATGAATTGGGAAAAAATGTTATCATTGTCTTCCTTACACATCAGAACAAATATTTATGAATAAAAAGAAGAAAACGGAATGAATTTAGGTTTTCCTAGCAATTATTTAGTGGGATGGTTTGTAGAAATTAGTTTAATCCTAAAATATTTCTAAACAACGGTTGAAAAAAAATTAAAACTACTAAGAGCTGGAATCTATTTAATCTTAGTTTGGAACTTCTTAATAATGTATACCTAAGACCTCATATTAAATCTAATTCATGGATTTCAGGATCCAAAGAAACTATAATGGTATTATTTACTAATTCAGAAATCTATGGAACAAATTTTTCCACTCCAGTCAATTTGTGATATAATAGATCTGTTGAATCCTCATTGTTATGAAATTTGACAGTATGGCAAACTACCAATTTAGTTTGCCATAGTTCCCAGTAGTTTTACATCATATATCAATTCATGAAGAATACTGTCCTCTAATTATTGTCCATGATCTTGTCAATCCACCAAATGATACACTATGATACAGATATGATAGGTTTTTATCTAAGTTGACTGAAAATAACACTATTCATAATGTAGTTTGAAAGAGTTAATCAATAATAATAAACACTTTGAACAGACTTAAAAAAGCAGCTAAGTAATCAAACCAACTAAATCTGGACTAATTATATGAAAAAAAGTTCGAAACTTATATCTATATAAGTATCTGACTAACACCAATGAATCTCACATCAAATAAATCAGAGGAATCACAACTCGAATATACAAACTTGTACTTGTTTTATTAATCCATAGCATAACTCACAGGTTATTTCAACAAATGAAACATAATATTTTGGTCTGCTTTATTGAATACAACATTTACAAACTAGGTATTTTTTGCAATAGAAGTTCAAATAACTATAGGTGGAAGTTATATTTCAGTTTATTTCAGAGGTTTTTCTACTGAATAGTGAATTTTACAGGTTTAAGCTTTCTTTAAAGTATACATGAAAATGAAAAATAAAATAGTGAAAAGAGAAACGTGTACACTTCTGAAATACTAGCATCAAATATTTATTTCAACTCCTCGTGGCTAATAGACTAAAGTGACGTTTTGGTTTCATATCAGCGTGACAAAATAATAACAGGTTAACTGAGAGATATTACAATTTGAGGTATGACCACATTTGAAGCTGTAACTATGCGCTGATGAAGAGTCTAATGCTCCTTAGTTTTCAACCACTCCCTAGACATTGTAAATCACTGGTTAGAGGATCATTAGATTTGAGTTCAATTTCACTCAGAAAATGTGGTTGTTAAATTTATTCTTATTATTTATATATAATATAAACCGTATGATTTTACGCCGTTCACTTGATGAAAATTAGCCCTTTTTTCAATGCTTGTCAATGGTTTGTAGAAGTTTCTATAGGAATTTAATGTGAATTGTGGAGTGACAAGTTTAGCTTTCACTCCTTAAATGATAAATAATGAGTTATTTTCTTATGAACGTTAATTCAGTAAGAAATTCAGAATTAAAACAAACATTTGTCTTATCTTATTTATGTCCCACTGATTTTCTGGAGTTGATATTATTCGTAAAAAAATCTGTTTTGAAATTAGAAAATATTGCTGATATTAACCAGAATATTTATTGTGTCGTACCCAGCACATCTGATCATTTTTCCGTTCATTTAGTAGATGACTTTTGAACATTAAGGAGTAATCCCCATCAACGATATCATTCTAAGCCCTAAATTTTAGTATGTCTGTATTTTTCATCCAATAGTCGGACTACTCTATACTGGTTTTACTCATGTATGATTTTACAGTTCCTTGAGATGAATTATTTACTGGAAATTTAATTTCACTCACTAAATGAGTAGAAAAATAACTGAAAGTGTTAGACATAACTATCCAGTGAGGTGTGGTTGATCTCAGTCGAAAACACTGAATTAGCTAATCTTCACTCTTTAATAAGTGTGTGTTACGCTGATCATCATTGTAATTAAAACGAATTATTAATCAATTTTTATGCTCAAGAATACAACGGCTATGTATTGTAAATATTTATTTGCCTGTCTTAACCTAACCAGTATCATTTTTAAGTAGTTTTCTTTCTTTCTAAGCCATTGTTTATTTGTTCTCTATAAAATGTGTGTGTGAGTTGAAACGGCAACATTAAATTAAACAAAGTCAGTCTCAGTTCATAAATGATACTTCAGTTTTTTTCCGATCATATCCGCTTCTTTGTTCTAATTGTTACACATAGGGTTTATTCAATCTATAGCAATGAGTAACAGTCTTCACATTAGCTATTCTGACTACTAGACCAGTTGAAAAAATTCCTGTTTAATGTATTGGAATATTTTATAGGCCGAAATCCTAATTTGTTTATCAAAATCGCTCGATATTTGAAGATGATTGGAATCATATGTTGAAAATAAATCAATTTGATGGTTTCTAAAGTTTGAATTAGAAAAACTGTTTTTTTAATATCCCATTTAAAATATAATATTAAAACAAAATACGATTAATGGAATCCGGTTCCCCACAAATGAGTGAAATGAATGAAATGGAAAACTGATGATCACCATTTTGAGAAGCAATCCAATTTATTCATTATGTAGTAACGAACTTGTATGTTTCATTCTCCACATATTCATCTTAATTTTATTTATTTATTTAAACACATAAACACTGGTACAAGGAGGCATCGAATAGATATGCGCCACACAAGTCATTTGATTTGTGTGTGAGCTCTGATACTACCCGGGTGCCCGAACCGAAGCAGGCGGTTTCCTTAGGAGGCCACACCCGGAGCCTTCGATCTAAAGGTCTAATCCACAAGGCAGTGAAGCAACGTCAGAAGGTGTAGTCCCATGGTAGGTGGTAACCAACAAATGGTTCATACGCCATTTGTTCCTTCAGGATCCTGGAGCCTATGTGCACCATTGGTTTGGAATCAGGGTTTTCCAACTCCACTAGGTGGATCCTCTATATCCACCAACCCGGTTAAAGCGCCTGACATTCGCTTTTTTCCTCTCAATTTCGTAAACAATAGTAATAGCGCGAGAAGGCAGTGAGTAGGACTTGGGTTACTAATAAAAAAAGCTGCATTGTTTTAGTATCGAAGTCGACAAAAGTGGGCACTTTCAACCTTACTAGGGATCGGAAACACGACCTTCAGGTCTTATAGTGAATACTTTATTACTAGGTCTGAGTTCAATCGTACAATTTCGAATGGAATCAACTTACGATATGACGCAATAATTATTCAATACCAATATGGACAACTGTCTCACTTTCAATACGTCTGAGGCCCATCAGTCACGACTTTGTATTAGAATTTCAAAAAATTTTGAGGCAGATCACTAGTAAGCTTATTTTTAGAATTTATTAAGCAGAGATTCGTGAAGATCTGTTTGGTTTGTAAATAATATTGGTTACAGTTAAATCTTCGTTGAGAGATTTGAAGATCCTCTGTTCGATGTCTAATGGGGTAGTGGGTGGCCACTAGTGGGCAGTTTCATACTAGAAGAAACAGTAATTTATTTCCCCCTAGTTTTTAGTGACACCCCAGTTAAAGTCAGTCTATGATATATATATATATATATATATATATATATATATATATATATATATATAACAAACGAATATAAACACCTCCAACTAAATAATAAATTCAGTTTGTTGCTGATCATACTGAAGAAAACTAGTTGAATATATCTTCCATTCAATAGTTATTTGTCGTTAGGTTTTATCATGGACTGATATCCACTGGAGAACAATTAAAGACTAGAGAAAAATAGAAAGCTGTTTCCCCCTTGTCGTTTGTGGCTCAATATCAGTGCAGATCGATGAACTTGCATAGGACTGGATCCATAATTTTTATATCTTTTGTTGACGGTTATACCTGCCAACTACAGAAATCACGATTGAATGATCAACATTTACAACTTTAACCAATTTGAGTGGAGTGACGTTTCGAACAACGAATACTCTACAATTAAATATTATTGAATGAAAGTACATAGATTGATTATTTGAGCTGAGTACTAAGAGTATATCAATAAATTTCTAAGTAATAACTATCACAATTCGGTAATACATAGGTTTTCAAAAACCATTCAGGATTAGAAAGCTTACTTGTGTAAATTAAAAATATATTTGCAGCGATTAGTGATTGTTAACTTAATGATTAATACAAAAACTTCAAGGTCATTCGAGAGTCACTCTACATAAACTGACTAACACTACAGATTTCAACCAACTTGTGTTAGTGTGATTACATTTACCACTATAATGCATCCTTAAGACAATTATTGTAGAGCACTCAATTAATCACGAAAGTCGGTAATTTTTAGTAGGGTCTTAATAATCTTTACCAAAGGTCCATAGATGATAATCATCATACCGATATTTATTTACAGAATATTTAACATCTGGTTTCTTTTACCTTTCATTTAGAAAGAAGTATGAGTAAATATTTCTGACAGTACTGTAAGGATGAAAATTTTAATGAAATATGTTCATTGTCTTAATAGATGTAGTTTACTAAGCTTCCACAAGGGAAATTCATGTAGCCAGTGCAACTGGTTACTTAAACGGTTGAAAGTAAAGTTTTGTCTACCAATATATTATCAACTTCCTCAAACCACACATATATATTTCATTTAACTATTAATAGCAAAATACAATTTATGAGTAATTTTGTTTAAAATTCACTTTTGATTAAAGTTTAAAGACAAATAAATTGAATA